ACAGCAGCTCCTCACCTCTGAAACCACCATGAAGAGGCTAGCGCCCACGCTGCCCACGCAAGACCCTCCAGAAGACCAGGAGGGTGCTGCGTGACCTACAGCGCAAATGAACCACCGCGTCGCCACCATCAACGCGCGTGGGCTCGCCACTCGGGGGAAGAGCCTTGCCCTTTGTCATTTCCTCAGGCAACATCACGTGGACATCGCGTTTGTCCAGGAGACAAACGCATTTTATCTGGGCAGCGGCCAAGACCTCTGCCTCGGCTACAACGCTGTTGTATTGGCCCATCCCGTAGCCATCTCGGGATCCGGACTCGCCTGCGTCTTCGGGCCAGGCGTAGCCGTGATACAGCAGCGCGTCCTGTGGCCGGGCCACATCGCCTTGGCAACCATAGATGTCCACGGCGAGGAGATGACGGCCATCGCCGTTCATCTGGCGCATGAACCCCGGGAGAGAAACCGGCAACTGGAGCTCCTGGCGGCGACAGCGGCACAGGAGGAGGAGGGGGCCTGCTGGATCATCGGCGATTTTAACATCAGGGATCGGGGCCCCTCATCATCATCATCGTCGGATGTCCTCGCCGCTCTTCTGAACCTGGCCGCGCTGGTCGACGTGGCCACCCAGTTCGACGCCGCCCACCTGCCCACCAGAGTCGCCAGGCACGGCGACCAAGTCGAATCCAGCCGCCTGGACCGGATCCTCGTCCCTGCTGGAGTCCTGGATCGCGTGTCCATCTACGCGACCAGTCACTACAACCTCTCGGACCACCGCCTCGTGCGGCTCCAGGTGGGCCCGCCCAACACCGCCGTCTCCTCCCCCACCCAGCCTCGCTTGGCCGCGATGCTCCGCTCGGGCCTTGCTCTCGAACATCTGGCTGGCTACATCCGGGAGTTGGAGGAAGACACAGCGCACGATGACGACGACGGGACCTTTTGGGATAGGCGGGCCACCATCAAGGCGGGGCTGCTGGCGGAGGCCAGATCCCTGCACGACCCGCGCCACGCTGCCAGCGACAGCTATGTCTACAGGGCGAGACGTTACATCGCGGCGCAGCTCGAGGCCTCCTCCATCCGGGCCGACTACCCGTCGCTGCCGGACCTGGCGCGCGCCATCCGCCTCCGACGCCCGGTCAGCGTCATCAGGGACGAGCAGGATAACATCATCGAGGGCCCCGAGCTTCGGCGGAGGGCGTTCGCGACCTTCCAGCCCCGCTTCGCCCGTCCCACCAGCGATCCAGCAGCGGGAGCCGCCTTCATCGCCAGCAGCGCGCCCACCACCACCACCCGCGAGCTGAGCGAGGAGGACCCTCTCCACCGGCCAGACATCAGCCCCAGCGAGATCGCCCACGCCATCGAGCACCTCCCTCGCGGAAAGGCCCCCGGCTGGGACGGCTTGCCGTGCGAGCTCCTCGTTGCCTTCAGCGAGGACTTCTTCGCGAAAGCTCTGGCCCGGGTGTTCGCGGCATCACGGCTCCGCGGTGCCCTGCCTCCGTCGACGCGGCGCAGCTCCATCTGCCTCGTGCCCAAGGCCCGCGGAGGTCGCGGCCTTGACGGCTACAGGCCCGTCGCGCTACCCTCGGCCGACTACAGGGTCCTGGCCGCCATCCTTCACCGGCGCCTCAAGCCCCACCTGCGGACCCTTGTGCCGGAATGCCAGACTTACGCCGTCCCCGGGAGGTCCCTGTCATGGAATATCGCCATAGTGAAGGACACCGTCGAGGAGGCCACCGCCCTGGTCTTGCCGCTGGCCGTCATGGGCGTAGACCCGGAGTCCGCCTTTGACTCACTAGACCGCGGCTTCTTGGAGTCCCTGCTAACGTCCCTCCGCCTCCCGCCGGCCTTCAGGGCCTGGATTAACATCCTCTACGCCGGGGCGGACGCCACCATCCGGGCCGGAGGCTTCTACACCACCGCCTTCCCCCTCCTCAACGGCCTAAGACAGGGTTGCGCCGTGAGTGCCGCACTCTTCAGCATCGCCACGGGGCCGCTGCTACGTCGCCTGGAGTTGACCCTCGGCGTGGGCAATGTCATCGCCTACGCCGACGACATCGTCCTCCTATTCCATCGCGATGGAGACTTCGAACGGGTGGCGACCGTCTTCGAAAAGTACAGGCAGGCCTCCGGGGTTGGCGTGAACATCCGGAAGAGCGCTGGCCTCTGGTGCGGCGCCTGGCGCAACCGCGGCGACTCCCCTCTCGGCGCCTCCTGGTCGACCACCTCCATCAGGGTCCTCGGGCTCGACATCGCCCCCAGGAGCACCGTCGCCCACCGGGAGCAGCATCTCCTAGCCCTCCTGGAGACTGCCTGCCGCAGATGGACGCCCTTCACCCGCGGCCGCTCCCTCGTCGGGCGAACAAGAGCGGCGAACACGCTGGTGGGCTCTGTCATCCAGCACCACCTGCATGGCTACCTACCATCACCCCCGACCATCGCCAAGCTGCAGGCCCGACTGGCGAGATTCGTCTGGGGACAGGACCACACGGCGTGGCTTCCCGCCGATGTCATGACGAGGCCAGTTGCCATCGGAGGCCTCGGCCTCCTCGACCTCGCGACCCAGCTCCAGCTCGCCTGCCTCAAGGGGGTGCAGGTCGCGCTCCGCGGGGGCAGAAATGCCTTCAGCTGGCTGGCAGAAAGCGGTGAGGCCTGGATCCACCCTCCACCAGACGGCACCCGTCTCCAGCCCCGCCGTCTCCGGCTGCAGAAGCTGTGGGAGGAGGCCTCCAACATCCTGGGCCTCAACCACCGGGCGCTCCCCACGGCTCAGCTGCTGGACCTCCCCATCATCGGCGGCTGCCGGTTCCTCCGCCCTCCCGACCTTCTGGCCCCCGCCCGCTGGCGCGGAGTACGAGTCCGGGACCTCATCGTGGAGGAACATCTCATCGCCCGCCCAACGCGCTCGGCCCTGGCTGACGCCGCGACCCTGGGCGCCTTCTGTCAGAGGCTGACCTCCGAGAACGCCGTGGGCTTCGGGGCGGAGTCCACGCCTTCATCTAGCTCCCTAGCTGCGGCCGTGGTGCTGCGAGGGACGGCTACGCCTTTCCTCAACGGCCTCACGACCCGATCGGCCCGACGGGCCTTGGATCGCCCGCGCCTCACCGCCACGCCCATCTCAAGGTTTACCTCGAGATGGTCGCCCACCATCGGTCCACCACGATCTAGGATCGACTGGGCCTTGCTGCGGCGCTGCGCCTTCTCGGGCCACGAGGCCGACGCGGCCCTCAAGTTGGCCTTCCACGCCCTTCCCCATCCGGCCCATCCTGCCTCGGTCGGCCCCTCCTGTCCTGCCTGCGGGTCCATCGACCGCTCCCTCAGCCACCGTTACTGGTGCTGTCCCTCCATCAGGCCTCTCATTAGAGAGGCCTTTAACATCATAGGGCGGCCCCCTTATTTTCAGGCTTGGATCTTCGGCGGGTTCGGCCTTGAGGACGACGCCCTTTCCATCCTGGCGTCGGCAAAGTTGCGAATTTATCGCTACTTTGTCCAGGTTGGGCTCGGAGAAGCGGTGGAGGACCCGCTCATCGCCTGGTCCAGGACCCTCCAGCGTCGAGGATTCCTTCCATCATCTCCCATTATCATCATGTAATATATATGTTTTCATATATGTATATATTTTCTTTCTTTCTTTCTTGCATTATGTAATATATTTCGCTCTCTCTTTTTTGATTGAAATTGTGTAAAATTGTCTAGAAGACAATAAATAATTTTTAATTGTTAATTGTCACACACACACAGACATTCATTTTTATATATATACTAGACGAATGACCCGGGCAACGCCCGTGTTTTACCCGATTGAATGTTTTTATTCCAATACTATTTGTTACAATTATAAATTGGAGCCGTGGATGTCACTCTTGTGAAACGTCCCGCTCCAAACTTTACATGTACATTAGGTCCGCTAGAGGCGCGAGCGAATTGACTTTTTGTAAATATACATAATTATAAAGATAGAAGCTTCTATAGAAGATAATGATCATAATGATGATGCGCGCGCATCTGTGACAGTGATGAGGAATTGAGGAAAGACGGTCGTGACTATATATTAATAATAAAATAATAATAATAATATAATAATTATTATTATTATAAAGCTATACAAACAGTTTTACCGCATAAGTTTCTTTTTTATTTATTTAAAAATCATTTTTAATTTCAAAGAGAAATATTTAATATTTCTAACTTTTGGATGACGTATGAAAAGGTTGAATACATGAAGAGTGATGGTCTATATATGAAGGGATGACGTATGAAAGGGTGAAAAACATGAAGAGTAATGGCGAACGGAAAAATAAAAGTGTCCAGGAGCGGGAATCGAACCCACAACCTTCTGCTTACCGGGCAGGTGCCATGTCCACTAGGCTATCCTGGACGTATTTCTCCGTTCGTAACTAATATTTAAACTGACTAATAATACTTATAAATGACTGCGGCGTATAATTATAAAGCTATACAAACAGTTTTACCGCATAAGTTTCTTTTTATTTATGAAAAATCATTTTTAATTTCAAAGAGAAATATTTAATATTTCTAACTTTTGGATGGCGTATGAAAAGGTTGAATACATGAAGAGTGATGGTCTATATATGAAGGGATGACGTATGGAAGGGTGAAAATATGAAGAGTAATGGCGTACGGAAAAATAAAAGTGTCCAGGAGCGGGAATCGAACCCACAACCTTCTGCTTACCGGGCAGGTGCCATGTCCACTAGGCTATCCTGGACGTATTTCTCCGTTCGTAACTAATATTTAAACTGACTAATAATACTTATAAATGACTGCGGCGTATAATTATAAAGCTATACAAACAGTTTTACCGCATAAGTTTCTTTTTTATTTATGAAAAATCATTTTTAATTTCAAAGAGAAATATTTAATATTTCTAACTTTTGGATGGCGTATGAAAAGGTTGAATACATGAAGAGTGATGGTCTATATATGAAGGGATGACGTATGGAAGGGTGAAAAATATGAAGAGTAATGGCGAACGGATAAATAAAAGTGTCCAGGAGCGGGAATCGAACCCACAACCTTCTGCTTACCGGGCAGGTGCCATGTCCACTAGGCTGTCCTGGACGTATTTCTCCGTTCGTAACTAATATTTAAACTGAATAATAATACTTATAAATGACTGCGGCGTATAATTATAAAGCTATACAAACAGTTTTACCGCATAAGTTTCTTTTTTATTTATGAAAAATCATTTTTAATTTCAAAGAGAAATATTTAATATTTCTAACTTTTGGATGACGTATGAAAAGGCTGAATACATGAAGAGTGATGGTCTATATATGAAGGGATGACGTATGGAAGGGTGAAAAATATGAAGAGCAATGGCGAACGGAAAAAAAACTGTTTGTATAGCTTTATAATTATACGCCGCAGTCATTTATAAGTATTATTAGTCAGTTTAAATATTAGTTACGAACGGAGAAATACGTCCAGGATAGCCTAGTGGACATGGCACCTGCCCGGTAAGCAGAAGGTTGTGGGTTCGATTCCCGCTCCTGGACACTTTTATTTTTCCGTTCGCCATTACTCTTCATATTTTTCACCCTTCCATACGTCATCCCTTCATATATAGGCCATCACTCTTCATGTATTCAACCTTTTCATACGTCATCCAAAAGTTAGAAATATTAAATATTTCTCTTTGAAATTAAAAATGATTTTTCATAAATAAAAAAGAAACTTATGCGGTAAAACTGTTTGTATAGCTTTATAATTATACGCCGCAGTCATTTATAAGTATTATTATTATTATTATTATCATTAGATAATGAAAATGATCATAATGATGATGCGCGCGCATCCGTGACAGCGATGAGGAATTGAGGAAAGACGGTCGTGACTATATATTAACTAGCCGAATGACCCGGGCAACGCCCGTGTTTTACCCGATTGAATGTTTTTATTCAAATACTATTTGTTACAATTATAAATTGGAGCCGTGGATGTCACTCTTGTGAAACGTCCCGCTCCAAATTTTACATGTACATTAGGTCAGCTGGTATTACCCCTCATTTTCACCGCTAGAGGCGCGAGCGAATTGACTTTTTGTAAATATACATAATTATAAAGATAGAAGCTTCTATAGAAGATAATGATCATAATGATGATGCGCGCGCATCCGTGACAGCGATGAGGAATTGAGGAAAGACGGTCGTGACTATATATGTTGATAATAAAATAATAATAATAATATAATAATAATAATTATTATTATTATCATTAGATAATGATATAATGATCATAATGATGATGCGCGCGCATCCGTGACATGAGGAATTGAGGAAAGACGGTCGTGACTATATATGTTGATAGATAAGAATCATTATTTTCAGTTCAAATTAAATCTTTGTAAATTGATAATCTGGTTTCTCTTTATTGATCTATTAAATATCGTGGGACAAAATAACCACAAAGTTTTTTCAAGTTTAAATGTTCACCAATAATTTTTTGGCAACTACCATACGAAATTCCAAATATTTCTGATATATTATCAATAGTAATTTTTTATCAGCAACAATTAAATCGCGTACCTTTTCAATATTGCGATCCATTGTTGACCTCAATGGCCGACCTGACCTCGAATCATCTGCGATGTTTTTATGGCCATCTTTAAAATGTTTATAAGGAAATAAAATTGCGTTCGTGACAATTTTCCGTCTTCATAAGCTTCATTCATTAATGCTAATGTCTCTGTGAAAGACTTAATTTTACACAAAATTTAATATTTGCCCTTTGCTGAAATGATGACATTGCAGAAACCAACAAAAGCTAAATACTTACAATAAAAATATGCCTAAATGAAAACTACGCATGCGCATTTACTGGCGTTGCTCAATTAAATTATAGTTTAGGCTTTGTTCTTTGCAGTAAAATTGATTTTACCATTTTTCAAAAGTTATTTTATATTATATTTTTTAAGAGTTCAGGAACTTTTTTGTTGGATTGGTGGTTCAATCAGATGCAGAATAGATTGAAATATATAAGTTTTAATATATCACGACATAACAAGTAGCCAGAACAAGGGAAGACAAACAGAAAGTGGAGGGAAAGGTGCAGCGCCTCTAGTGGTGGCGGTTGGAAGCTCCTCAATGCCACGTCGTCCCGTGACGTAGTCGCGCTGGAAGCTACTGTAGGCGCCGGTACCCGACCTTGACCGAGACCTGAATGGCGCTCTCCGATTGGCTGGCGAGGATGACGCCACCACTACGCGGCAGACTTTGTTTTTTTTTTTTGTTGTTCCCATACACTCGCTTTTGTTTTTCTAACTATTGTGTTGGAGCGGGTCGCTCCATAAATAAATGCATATATTAATTAATAACTAAATGGAATCCTCTCTTTCTTTATCCCAGTAAGGACGCCTACGGAAGCCAACAGAATTTCAGAAGCGGGATAACCCTGAAGAAAGAAGAATTGCTGGAGTGTTCAAGCAGCAACAAAGGATCCGCGACGGAAGGATTGGGACCTGAAGATCAAGGAGGTAGAGCGAGACCTGAATAATGCGGTGAACAAGACGACGAATAAAACACCGTTCGAAACACTCCACGGCTATTCCCCTCGATTCCACGACGGGATACTTAGAAGATTAGCCGACGAAGATATGGACCCGTGGACCGAGCCGGAGAGAATTCAAGAGAGTGTGAGAACCCAAATTGAGAATAAACAAGAAATCATGAAGACGTACTACGATAAGAAGAAATGCCGTACACTCCAATTCGAAGTAGAAGAAATTGTAGTGATGAGGCATGTACCCAAAATGACTGGTGAACCATCCAAGGCGCAACCCAAGTATCGAGGACCTTTGATAATCACCGAGGTTCTGCCAAGCGACACGTACAGAGTGACTCAGCTAAGCGAAAGAACCGGTGGACGGTTCTACACGACAATGGCCCATATCAGTCAACTGAAGTCTTGGCACAGTGAAGAAGATGATTCAACTACAGAAGAAAGTCCGGACGAGAAGTCAGAAGAAGAAGACACCCTCCGACGCAACCCACGACGTTCCTGCAACGCAAAGTTTAATCGAGGACGATTGGAATCCAGGAATGGCCGAATGTAGGCGCCGGCACCCGACCTTGACCGAGATCTGAATGGCGCTCTCCGATTGGCTGGTGAGGATGACGCCACCACTACGCGGCAGACTTTGTTTTTTTGTTGTTCCCATACACTCGCTTTTGTTTTTCTAACTATTGTGTTGGAGCGGGTCGCTCCATAAATAAATGCATATATTAATTAATAACTAAATGGAATCCTCTCTTTCTTTATCCCAGTAAGGACGCCTACGGAAGCCAACAGAAGGAAGCACACAGTTCATCATTCCCCCACTTGCGACTTCAAATTCATCTGGAAACATGCCTCTCTGTGCATCAACTTCTTTAAAGTCTTGGTTTGAATATCGGCCATGTTTTCCTAGGTGTTAACAAACTGGACAACGATATCACCAGAGTTTATCTTATCTCTTGTGTAGTGGAACTGAACTGAGATGTGCTTGGAACGATTATTCTCAATGTTATTCTTAGAAAAGTCTATACTGATCGATTGTTACAGTAGATTGTGAGTGGTTTGGCAAAGTACGAGATAAATCCAAGATCAGACAGGGTTTGACCGAGCCAGATGGCCTCTTTAGCACTGTGACATAATGCTATATACTCCGATTCCATGGTAGACAACGAAACACATTGCTGTTTTTTAGATCGCCAATTGATGACATTCCCATCAATAACTGCAACCATTCCAGAGTAGGATCTTCGATCATCTGTGTCACTCCCATAATCGGCGTCTGTGAACATTGCGACTTTATTGTTGTTTCCTTTGACATAGGAGAGTTCTAAGCCAATAGTACCCGATAGATATCTCAAAATATGTTTTGCAGCTTCCCAATGCTTCTTTCCTGGGTATGCCACAAAATTGGAAAAGTTTAGAAGTAGCAAAAGAGATATCTGGTCTAGTGCAATTGGACAAATACAACAATGTACCAATAAGCTCTTTGTATGGTATATTAGACATTTGGTCTATTTCAGCTTGTGTATGGGGACAGTCTATTTTAGATAGTATGATAGCTGGGCCTAAAGGCGTACATACGTTGCGAACTTCGAACATATTATATCTTTCAAGTAAAGTTTGTATGTAATGTCTTTGATTAAGAGACAAACTCTCTTTGCCGTAATTTATATCGACACCTAAAAAGAATGTAATGGGCCCCAGACTTTTAATTTGAAACTCTTGTATAATTTTATCCTCGATTTCGTCAAGTGTATTCTGGTCAACAGCAAATATCGCTAAGTCGCCTACAAAAATTTCTATGATTGCCCTATCGTCAAGCACAAAAATGCAATTGCACGATGGAATTTTAGAAAAGCCCACTTTTTCAAGAAATTGACTCAGCGTAGTATTCCAACAAAAAGCTGCTTGTTTAAGCCCATAGATAGGTTTTAAAAGTCTAAGAACTTTATCTTTAGAATCCTGAAGCTTTATTCCTGGTGGCAAAGCCATGTACAATTCTTTATTAAGTGCCCCATATAAATATGCATTATTTATGTCTAAATGCCTATTTACCCAGCCAGCATTTTGGGTCAAAACTAAAAGCATTCGGATTATACCGAAATTGGCAACAGGGGCATATGTTTGATTAAAGTCAATATCGGGTGTCTGGCTGTAACCTTTGGCTACGAGCTTAGCTTTAAATTTACTAACCATTCATTTAGAATCTCCTTTTATTTTAAAAACCCAACGATTACGGATTACCATCTTATTTTTAGGTAAATTAGTGACAACCCATGTTTGTCTTTCTTCAAAACAATTTAACTCTTCTTGCATCGCATTTTTCCATAGATCCGATTCGGGTGAGCAAACAGCTTCTTCAAAAGTTTGAGGTTCAGACACCTCGCATAAATTTAGTTCAACATTTGCAAGATTCAGTGTTTTTCTTTCAATTTCTCGACTACGGGGGCTCAAAGTATTATCAGAACTACCCCCCACTATATCTCTAACTTCTGAAGTCGACGGAACTTCTAGTTGACTGTCGTAACCTGGTTGAAGGTCAGGATCACGTGGCGGGAGAACTTTGC